CTTATTATGATGTCTACTGGATACAAGTTAAAACTAGCTAATTAACTACCACACCAGTACTGCGTATTGCTCATCCATCCAATAGGTGGCTGTGTGTGTGCACATTTAGGTTTTTAGCTCAGGTGTTTTTGGAAGGAAAATGGAAGAAATAATATATGATCAATGAAAAATATTAATATTTCTTAAAGACCCACTAAAGAACTATTACTAGCTGGGAATAATTTGAAAGTGCTGCCTCTGGTTTGGATCAAGCCTTCTAGGTAGGATAACTTCTACAATTTAGAGCTGTGTGAAATTGCTGAAAAACCCGCCTGCAAACTTAACATTCTGACCACATTTGATCACGATGTGTGAAGAGCTTCATAGTGGCAGTCACCACATGGTTGACCCACAGCTTGGCTATGAGTTACACTGAGCTAGTGTCAATCATTTTTTGTTGAAATCCTCTACTTTTCCTTTTTGTGGAGTTAGCATTCCAAACCAGGAAAACACTCTGTCATTTTAACTAGCTACATTCTCAACGCAATTTCAATTGCATCCAAAACTCAAAATGATATTAGAGACATGCAGGGTTTAGCTACACATGTGCTTTACTGTGGAGTTGACTAATTAGCTTTACAGTAAAGTGTCACCTTCTATATATGCGCCTCTATTAAGGCGCAGTAAATTAATTAATTCTGCTGTACAATAGTACTGTCCGGGTCAAGTACTATCCTATGGAGGAGTTATTTAGTGCACTACAACGCACGTGTAGATGGTAACTGGGGCTGGCTGGGGCATGAGGGTGCTCCAGTGCAGGGGCTGCCTGCTGGCTAGCCCCACACTATAGCACCCTCATGCCCCAGCCAGCCTCTCCGCAGCACATTTTGCTGGTGGGGAGCAGCTCTGGGCTGGAAGGCTGAGCCCCTGGACCCTGTGTCAGCTGGAGCTGCTCCGCCCAGGCTCAATATGCTATGGTCTTGGGCTACATGTAAATGCTGAGCCCCAGAATAATAAACTCTGGCCTGAACTGCACCAGAGTTTATTGCTAAGTGCTAATTGCACATGTAGATGCATCTACAGAGCAGCGCAGACAGGACCCCATATCAAAATGTGAGTTTGACATTTTTTTAAACAAAACAATTTATATAATCCAATTACCAAACCCACAAGCCATACAATTACCCAAGAATCCTGACATCCCGACACAAACAAACACCCGCTGAAGGCATTGGGAATTTTGCTAGATCCAAGATTACAAAACTAGGCTCAAAACTGCAAAGAATCTGATTCAAATATCTGTGAACACAATAGTAGTCTTTTGATTTCAAGTCTCAAAAAGAAGAAGAGAAAAGAAAACATTCTTCATTTCATAGTCTTGTTAACATTCTAGCTGCGTTTATTAGGCTGAGATTTACATTAGTATTGATTGTTAAATGTTAGTATTATTGGGCATGTCTACACATGCCCCCCATGGTGCAGTTGTTACTGCTCCATCACTTAGTACTTGCTTTACTCCATCCCAGAGGTGCACAGTTCTTTTTAGCAGCTATGTCACCATAGCAATGCTCTATAGCGAGGTAGCTTGTCACTATGATGATGTAGCATTGGCACCACGGTTTGTGACCACTGATGCTACATCGCTGTAGTGTGTTGTTACGGTGACATAGCATCATCTGTAGATGCGCCCACTGAAAATAATGGGAAACATTGTATTATGTTGAAATCCCACCAGTCTCATAAACTGGGTAAAATTAGCAGAGTTTCAAATGAAAGCTTCTGATAAGATACATGAATGCCTTTTATAGCTAAGTCCTCACAGGTCTTTAGATATGACTCTGAGTTAACTCAAATCCTTCACTGAAATGAAAAGACTACAGTCTACCCTCAAAGTTATAATAATTATCTAAATGAAAAACACCATGGTGCTAATTTTAGCTATGAATATTATTGCTATAAAATCTAGTACTCTTAACTGAGGTTGAGCTTTCTTATAATGCATGTGATTAAAATACATCTTGTAACCTTTACAAAACAGTCCATTTACATCACTAGATTTTTCGGGGTTTATTTTAGCACTGTGGGTGGGATAAAGTTTAAATAAATACATGTCTGGATCCAGAAACAACGGAGCCAATGCATTTTTGGACCAACTCTCTTAATGTCAATGGAGTGGCACCAGGGATGGGTTTTGGACCACTGCCTTTGAATTTCCACATTAAATTTCAATCATTTTCACTTCTGAATGGTGGAACATGTAGTTAATCTTTTTTTTTTAATCCCATTTCAAAATAGTATGCATTATTCATGGAGGATGACCACATATTCTAACATATGCCTTCTTGGGGAATTTTATCTGCTTTGAGTATTATAATTTTTCAACATAATTTCAGTATAACATGCAGAAGTCATTCAAACACCATGACTTTTAAGACAGATTTTCAATCTTATTTTCACTTTTTACCAGACATTAGGGGTGAGTAAACTGATTCTTAGGCAAAAAAAGTTCCACAAGTTCCACCTGAGAAACAAAAAGGCATTCTTGACATAAACAGTCCTTTTTAGATTGCTGATTCCCGAGGAATTAGTAGCTGATCCTTAGGAGAACATAAAACAGCTTTTCATTAAGTACTGGAGCAGCATTACCAGAGTAGTTTCATAGACCCACTCCCCAGACCTGTGGTTTTATCAATGAAGTGCTTCCTCCTTGGTTTGTCAAGGTACATAAAAGCCTAGCAACGCTGCTAGAATTGTCATGTCTCTGGACTGAATAAAAAAGTGAAAATATAATGAAGGATTGTGCCCAAGGGCTAAGTTACTACACTAATGAAGACCGTATAAATTAGTTGTCTTCTTCTGTTACATACATTCCCAGTGGTTTATGTGCAGTTAGTAATGGGGCCACCCTTTAAAAATGTCTGACTGAGAAATATCAGGTTTCATGAACTTGAACAACCCTCCCCAGTATGTCTAAGGGAAAGCCAGCTCTCCAAGACAGAATGGGAAATGCTCAAGGCAGAATTCATCCTTGGCTGGAAGACCATACATGCCTTCTCCAGATTTAGGTTTAAATTCTACCATGAATTTTGGCTAGGGATAGAAATTACACATAAATCAATATAAGTAATCAGAAACTGGTTCAAATCTGTAACACAACAGAAGTTCAGTGCACATAAACCGCTTTCAAAATGCCCCAAATTTGCTAAGATAAACCTGGATAGATGTTGCATCAGACTTAACTGATTTAGCTTAAATTAGTTTATTGAATGTCTGCCCCAGATCCCCTCCAGATTCAAGTTAACTCACAGTCCCCCAACATCCCAGGGTACTTTGCACCTTCCCCACAAACCCCCCTTGCAGGGAGGGTGAGTTAGCCATGGCCCAAACAGTCTGCTCCAGCTGAGCAGGGAGGCATGCTCTAGTGCCCCAGGCTTCTGACCTAGGCCACTGCAGGCATGTGGCTGCATTTCCAGAATCAGAACTGAATGTCTGTTCACTTGCTTGTTGGTTCAATCTATGCATCTTAGACTAACTTACAAAGTTGAATCAATTCAGTCTCTGGCTTTTTGACTATCTGTATTTAGCCATACTGTGTAGCTCTGTTGAAAAAAGGAAGTGGCATAAAGTAAAATTTGGCCCACGGTTGATATTCATGATGACTCAGAGTCAGCTAAATGCTCTTAAATCACTTGAATCCCTCATTGGAACTACAGGCCGTGTGTTGATGAAACAAGAGGCGCGTATGCATGACACTTTAAACCAGGCTAAATGCTTTTGCGCTACTTTAATGGTGTTGGTGTTTGCACACCTCAGCAACATATTGCACATTAATTCCAGCTGTTGTAGGACATTTGGTAGCGTAATGCACCTTAAATGACTTGGGGCGCAGCAAACTAAAACTCATAGTTTTATAGTAGCTAGGGTCAGGAGGGACCTCAACAGATCGTCTAGCCTGACCCCCTGCCACAGCCAGGGATGAATGCTGGGTTCACAAGACCCCAGACAGGTGATCATCCAACCTCCTCTTGAATTTGCCCAAGGTAGGGGCAAGGACCACCTCCCTGGGAAGTTGGGTCCAGATTCTGGCCACCCTAACTGTAAAATATTGCCTACTGATCTCTAACCTAAACCTATTCTCCATCAGCTTATGACCATTGTTCCTTGTCACCCCAGGTGGTACTGGGGAGAAAAGGGCTCTGCCTATTTGCTGTTGATCTCCCCTGATGAGTTTGTAGGCAGCCACCAGGTCCCCCCTCAGCCTCCTCTTGCCGAGGCTGAACAGGTTCAGGTCCCTCAGTCTCTCTTCATAGGGCTTGCCTGCTGCCCTCTCACCAAATAGGTGGCCCTCCTCTGAACTCTCTCCAGACTGGCCACATCCTTTTTAAAGTGCAGCTCGCAGTACTGGACACAGTACTCCAATTGCAGCCTGACCAATGTGAAATAGAGGGGGAGTATCACCTCTCTGGACTGGCTTAAGATGCACCTTTGGATGCATGACAAGGTCTGGCTGGCCTTGCTGGCTGTGGTCTGACATTGGTGGCTCATGTTCATCTTGGAATCAATAATTACTCCAAGATCCCTTTCCACCTCTGTGCTTTCAAGACAGAACTCCCCAGCCTGTATGTGTGCTGTGGATTCCTTTTCCCAAGGTGCAGCACCCTGCATTTATCTATGTTGAACCCCATCCTATTCTCATCTGCCCACTTTTGTAGTCTGTCTAAATCTAGTTGCAGCCTCTCTCTCCTTTCAAGTGTGCCCACCTCGCCCCACATCTTAGTGTCATCAGCAAACTTGGACAAAGTGCTTTCAACCCCCTCATCCAAGTCGCTGATGAAGATGTTAAACAGTGCGGGCCCAAGGACTGAGCCCTGGGGGACTTCACTGCTCACATCTCTCCAGGTTGAGTACGACCTGTCTAAACTCCTTTGAGGAATTTTAGTTTGCTGCCCCTACAGCTGTGGAGCAAAGCACTGGGCTCTGTGCAGCTCCACGGCTCTGCAGAAAGCCCTGCAGGCAGCCTGGCAGCAGCCCAGGAAAGCAGCCTCCATCCAAGAAAAGCAGAGAACCTGATCCTTTTTTTTTTCTTTTCCCCCCTGGAGCCTGCCTGAGCTGCGTGGGGACCCGGTGCTTCCCATCACAGTTGTGGTGCTCCCCAGGACTGCCTGAGCTGGGTGCCTGAGGGCACGTACAGCCTGGGGGGAGGTCACCACTGCCGCAGAGGGAAGCACTGGCCCCCTGACACAGCCAGAGACTGCTCCACCCACTGGCAGCTCACCCTCCCCTTCCTGCCGGAGAGGCAGGTAAGGTGTATGTACAACACGAAGTTTAATCAGCCCTAAATTGAAGTGGTGTTTTTTAAAACCCACTACTTCAATTTTGGTCCCCCATTTCATCTACACATGCCCACAGTCACCATACCCCTTCCAAGTTCTTGACTGAATTGCATTGCCATGGTGATAGAAGTCCATGTTGTGAATGACAATGGGGATGAGCCAGGAGAGGTACTGAAGCTTATGGGATGCTGGTTGCCAGGGGCAGTAACCACTGGTGCAGCCCATAGATAGAAACAGCAGCTTATAGGTTGAAAGGATCTTGAACTTTCCGTGTCCAAATAACATAGCTTTATGCAGGTGAACTGAATTTCACTCTTACCACACAGTTTCTGGCCATCTGCACTAGTTAAAATTTCCCCTAGGAATACAGAACATGGACTGTACCAGCATTAAATTGTAGTGTTTTATCCTTGAATTGCATAATTTATGTTTTCTGGCAAACACAATCAGTTTTCCTAAACACCAGTCAGTCTCATGAGATCATTAGTTTAACTATCATTTTTTGTGGCCATCAGCTGTATGTATAACCCTTTTATAGCCCTTAGTGAGGGGAAAAGGAAGATTATCTAAATTTCTAATTATCTAAAATTAATTTGCAAACTAACCATGGTTTAGTTATTAAGGAAAACTTTTGGGGTGTATTGTTGTATATGAAATGCAATGTATAATCAAGTTTTTCTTTGTCTTTAGGTGTAGGCTATGCAGTGATACTTATAGCTCTTTACGTGGGTTTCTACTACAACGTTATCATAGCTTGGTCTCTGTATTATCTGTTTTCATCATTCACATTTGAACTCCCCTGGACGAAATGTGGCAACAGCTGGAATAGCCCAAACTGTACAGATCCCAAACTCTTCAACGCCTCGGTGCTTGGCAATGGCACCAAGTACTCCAAGTACAAACTCACTCCTGCTGCTGAATTTTATGAGTAAGTGTTGATTTGTCATTGTTCTTGCTTACAAACTCCAGATTAATTCAATGGTTTGTTCTTTTGCCCAAGAATGCCACTCTGGGGAGGTAGCATGGGTCAGTTGACAGGCCTAAATAGTAGGAGTCAGAAACCCAGGTTTAATACCTGGCAGCCATGCCACTGATCTTCTGTATAATGTTAGGTTAGTCAGTTATCTCTCTGTAGCTCAGCTCCTCTAGTTCAGGCAAAAAAAACCCCAACATTAAGCAATAGAGATTCAGAGCAACTATTAAGTAAATCTTTCTTCCACATGCAGCTTTTCATTATGCGCAAACAATCTTAAAACAGTAGCATTTATATCATGACTGAAAACAACACGCTCAATAGAGCTTACTGAATGATTTGAAACTTATGATTTCATTTACTCAGGTGTAACTTCTTGTTCTGCTTGCCTGATTTCTTGGAGGAAGTCTGTTTCTTTTGCTTTTCTTTTGCTGCTTCAGTAGTTTAGAATGAGGAGAGGGCAGCAGTTGAAAAACATAAGACTGATCCTGCTCCCATTTAAATGAAAGGTCATTCTGCTGCTTATCAGGCATCACCTGCACTTTGAGAGTCTTCAAAATAAAAAGAGTTTAAGGTAGGCACTAGACCCATTACACATAGGCATATGAATGAATGCTTAAAGTACAAAACAAAAGTTTCTGGGATCACTGGACTGATGACTTTATATACATGATTAGGTTCAGGACCCCAAGGATTATTTGAGCTTGGGTAAGAGGAAAGGGAACACTTGCTGGGCACTAGGCTAATCAATTGCTGAATTGGTTTGAATAATCAGTTAGTCCTTCTGCTTTGAATTTGTAGCCCGGCCAATGTATCAGTGTCAGCAAGGTCTTCTGTTGGACCACGGAGACACTGGTTTTATAACAGGCAGCCTAGCACATTCCACAGTATACTGAACTCTGCTACAACAGGGATCTTGTGGGCCGTGGTTGTCTGACATGTTAGCAGCTCTTTTTATTTCTCAGCAGTTGGTAATTTGAAAGGTTAGGGGTGGTGCAGAACCAATGAGCAGAAAGACAGTTTTGCTAAACTTAGTGTTTTGAAAGAGATTGATGAGTAGCTGTGAGTTTCTAGGAACTGAATCCAATGCCGAGTAATGCCAGCCAGGAACTCGGCTGTTTTCCTAAAGAGAAAAAAATACAATATCTTGGTGGTGTGATAGCAATAAAGGGATCAGTCATCACAAAAAATTGCAGTTTGTAGGCACTGGAAGAACATGATCTTGAGGTGAACTGGGAGGAGGTTTTTGAATCAAGGAAGAATGCTTCAGACTGATAATCACACCACTACAAACATTAACATTAATGTCATTTCAGAAAAGTTTTCCTTTTAGAGCTGGTTTGTGTTTTTAGGTTTTTTTAGCATAACATACCGTAAGCGCACACTAAGGAATATATGGTTGAAAATGGCCTCTTTGCAGGTTAGTCTAATCTGCAGAGCGTGAACTCGTTTGCAAGTGCATAGACATTCAGCACATACCTGCAGTGGCTCAAGCCAGAAACCCAGGGGTGCTAGAGCAGCCCTCCCTTCCGCAGGGAAGCTGAGCTGAAGGAGTGGGGAGTGTCCAAGCCCCAGCAGGCCTGTCCCAGTGGCTCCCTGACAGCTGGGAGAAATCTGGGTACACAGGGCTGCCTGGTCCCAGAGGAGAACTCTTCCCTCTTCCCACACCACCACAGGGCCAGGAGTGGGGGTCCGGTTTGGTGATGGGGGGGCTCTTCTCCCTCTTCCTCCCCCCCACAGAGAGGTGGGAAGGGGGGCTCTGTGAGGCTGCCTGGCACCAGAGGGAGACTCTTCCCCCTGCTTCTCCCCCATCACTGTGGGGTGGGGTGAGGGGGGCTCTATGGGATACTGCCCAGCCCCAGAGTGGGACTCTTCCCCCCACTCCTCCTCCCCCCCCAGGACAGGGGGAGGCTCTGTTACATGCTGGGAGGGAACTCTTCCCCCTCCTCCTTCTCCCCCCAGAGGGACAGTGGGAGCGCAGAGCTCAGCTGGGCAGGGTATGGGAGTGTGAGGGGTGTAGGGACCCCCCCCACACACTCCCCCCCATGGTGTGCAGCAGCAGCAGGCAGGGAGCCAGCACTGTGCAGGGGGAAGAGAGTGGAGTCTGCCTTATCTCCACAGGTCTGCTCCCAGATCCTGAGCCTGAAGCTCTAGCCCTGGCAGCAGGGGAAGTCCCGCTCTGGAGCCAGCTGCTTACCCTTCTCTCATCTGTGCAAGTCCCTGCGCTCTGCCAGGAGTGGAGGGAGCCCCACCCCCTGCTTTCCTGCAGAGTCCACTGCCCCTCTAAGTGCAGAGTTGCAGGCACATGGGCAGCATGTGGGCTGGGCAGTATTGCATGGAGCCCCCCCCTCCCCTGCAACCCCGCAGTAGCAGGGGGAAAGGGAGGAGGAGGAAGAGTCCCCATCCAGTGTCTCACAGAGTCCCCCTCCCCACCCTGGGAGGAGGAAGAGGGGGAAGAGTATCCCCCAACACATAACAGAGCCCCTCTTCCAACCCTGTGGGACAACTGAAGGGGCAGGAAGAAGGATTAATTCCTCCTTCTGTCCCCTCTCTGCAGCTGGGGTCTGCCAGCTCCAGAGTCCACCACTGTAGCCCTTTTCCTTTGCTCCCCGGCAGACCGGCTGACCCTGGCTGCAGTGGGGGAAGACAGGAAGGAGGGAAGAATTAATTTCCTCCCTGCTCACTTTGCCTTAACAGGACCATGCCAGCTGGTTCCTGCTCCGGCTACACAGCAGAGGGGCAGGTTCAGCCCTGTGGCTGAAGCAGAGACCCCCGCCCAACCCAGAGAGCATGCCGGGATGCTGGGGGTGTCTGGTTGATCTTAAACTAACAAGGGATCTGGAACAGACATTGCATGAAACAGTTTGAGCCAAATCAGTTAAGTCTGATGCTGCATTCAACCAGATTTTTCTTAAACCAGTTTCAGCCATTTTGAAACTGGTTTATGTGCACTGAATGTCTGTTCTGTTACAGGTTTAAACCAGTTTCTGATCACTTAACCCAGTATATGTTTAATGTCTGTCCCTAACCATAGAGTCCAGCCTCTGTGTTTTCAGGAAGTCATTTACTAAAGGAATACCCCAAATCCCCACCTCACACCCTCACGACTATAGGCACAGTATTTTAACACTAGCACCACCCTATAATGTGCCATAGGTAAATACAGAGAAGGTGAGGGCAATGCCCAGACACTGCAATTCTAGAAAAGTAGTTCATTAACATATGCTCAGAAGATCCCAGGAAAAATATCCTTCCCCATGCTACAAAGGAAAGCATCCTCCCCAGCCTGTACCAACCAGAAGCTCAGGATAAAATTCCTTGCTAACCCCAGATTTAGTAATTGATATGTCCCTGAATGGAAAAGCAAGACCCTCAACCAGGATCCTCTGTATTTTCTAAATACAGATGGAGCATCAGTGTGCCCCAGTCAAAAACACCTTAAGCTGTGCCCAACATTCTGGTACTTCAGAGAAAAGCTACTTCACCCCCAAGTTCCTTCTTGTATCCAACAGGCAACCAGCAAAAGACCTGAGGCATAGGATTACTAGATATCTGCCACATATGAGAACTACCTTTATTCTCTGGCCAGGGGATTACAAAAACATGAGAATATACTGATTGTTGATCCAGAGCATCCTGTTCTTCCATTCCTCCAAATATACCCATCCTGTTTAATTTTAAAGACATTCAGGTTCTTTACTATCACCAGTTTGCTGGGAAGACCACTCCAAAATTCCACTCCTTTGAAACTTAGAAATCGTCTTCTAATTTCCAGTCTAAAATTTTCTGAGGGCTGCATGTAGACTTTTGATCTGTTGGTGGTTTTTTTCAGCCTAAAAGCTCTTCTCTTGCCCCAGTATCCACCCTCTGTATGTACTTGCAATGGGTAAACATATTCATTCTCATCTCCATTTTGCTAAACTAAACAAGTCAAGCTTTTTTAATCTTCTTTCATATGAAAAGGTCTCCGTTCTCCTATTCATCTTAGTGGCCCTTCTTTGAACTCATTCTGGTTTAAGTTAATTTCTTTTAATATTAGTGGTCAGTACTGCATTCAAGTATTCTACATGAGGGCTTACTTATGCAATCATACAAGTACCTCACAAGTCTAGCACATAGACCCTGCCTACTACATTGTAAGATTACACTAGCCTTTCTTCACAGCTACATTGTGTTGGCAGCTACACTCTGTCAACATGCCTAGGGTTCATATCTGAAGTTTTTGTTATTGATCCCCAGTTCAGGGCTTCACACTTCATACATGTTCTGTTTACTTCTGTATTTCTCATTAATGGTCTGGTTAAAGAATGCTGATTTTATCCATTTTGCTATCACTTCTCACTTGGGTTAGAGGTTCAATTTTGGAATCACTGAAATAAATTATTCATCGTTCTGTGAGGTGGGGGAATCCCTTAAAAGTTTTAGCTGCAGTGCTTTGCTAGCTATTCAGTAAGGGTGAAGTTATACTTTGACCATACTAAATCTGTGAAATGTTAAGCAATGTTAAAGTTAGAATGTGCTGTGAACAGTCTCACTATGGGTATGGACAGAAGTTATACATAGACCGGTTTAAGTGATCAGAAACTGGTTTAAACCTGTAACAGAATAGAAGTTCAGTGCACAGAAACCAGTTTCAAAATGGTTGAAACTGGTTTAAGAAAAACCTGGTTGAATGTATTATCTTCTGTCCCAGACCCCGTCCTGGTTCAAGTTAAATTAGAGTTCCCTAGCATCCCAGCATTTTGCAGCCCTGGGCTGGGCTGGGCTGGGCTGTCTGCTCCACAGAGCAGGGCTGGCCTTTCCCCTCCCTAGCTGGAGCAATGAGGGCTGGCCCACTGGCCTCACTGGCTGGCTCACTTGCCTCCCCAGGTAAACCCCTGCTGGGGTGTAAGGCCAGGGAGGGAGGTTAAAATTCCCTTCCCCTGAGCTGCCCTGTCCTGCTTAGTGCTAGCTAC